GGCGGGCCTCCCTGGCGCTCACTCCGCCACCTGGCGGCGTCCGCGGGAACCGCGGGGGCGCGCGGACTCCGAGCCCCACCGGCCCCAGCGCGGGCCTCCCGGCGGCCGAGGCAGCAAAGGGTTAAGCTGTCAGCGGCGCGATGTTAAACAGGTGTCAAAGGCGCCCCATATATCTGCAGATTGAAATCAAATTCTTTGCCGTATAAAAAGATAAATTACCCAGGCGCTGCTGCGCGTCCCACTCATCACGCCAGCGCCAGACGGCAAGCAATTTTTTTTTTTAATGTGCTAACGACCTAATCAAGCAATCAAGTCGGAGAAGATTGCAGAGTGACCGGGGCAGCCATCTGCCGGCGAGCCCCGCATTCATTTCCCGCGCCCCCACGCGGGGCGGGGGCCGGGGAGGGAGCTACCGGGGGGGAAGAGGGGAAAAAATCCTAAACAAATTAACACCCAATTTTCCCCGTCTAATTAGTTAAATGAGAAGTGTTTGGGGTCCCCCGGGGAGGGGGAGCGGCTCGCGCGGCCTCCCCAGCATTAATTAGTGCGGGTCAATGCCGCGCTCCCGGGAGAGCAGCCGCTTTAATTTCCCGTGATATTTCAGTGCCTGAGGCCCATCGATTCAAACTGAAATTAACTTATTTTTCAATCAGCCCAGGGCTGCCCCTGGGGGTGACTCTTCTTTTGCCGCCTCCTGAATAGAGCTGGAGCAATTTTTCATCAAAAGCTGAAACCTGCGCCGCCGACGGCGAGGGAGGGGTCCGGAGGGAAGGGCGGGGACAGCCAGGCAGGGAATGGAAATCGCAGAGGAAACTAATAGATTTTCCCGGACCCGCTTCTGCCCTCCTCTCATCCCCGGACTTCCCTCGGGCGCCTTGGGTGTCTCGCCTCCCCGGAGGTGAGGGGCAGTGAGGGGACAAGAGGGGGCCGGCCAGGCCGGGGGTCCTTCCAGGTCCAGTTTCCCGCGGGCCTCTCACCTGCTTGAGGGACAGTGCAGCTGGCCCTGGCTCTGGCTGTAGCTCCTGTCAGCTGCCGGATGTCTCAGGAAAGCTGCTTTGGGAGACCAAGAAATCCCCCCTCCCTCAAGCCTGGCAGGGACCCTGGAATCTCCTCCAAGAAGCGGGCTGGAGTCTGCAGACACCCCTAGGGTACCTCATGCTCATTCAGACCCTGCACTAGTCAGCTTTGGGGCCAGAGAAACGTTCCCTAGCCACCTACCCCCATTTGCTCCTCACACCAGGAGAATTTTGTCTTCCTTCCCTGCTGAGCGATGTCTGCCCAGCTCCCCAAATATCATTCAGAGTTAGGTCCCAGACTGTGGAGAGTGGGTGAGTAGAGGGCACGGCGGCGTGGCAGGGCTTAGCCAGGACAGGGCAGAGGAGGAAGGCTGATTCAGGCCTCCTGGAAGTGTCCCTTGCCCTGTTTTGGGGTAGTTCTCAGGCTTCCTGATACCTGGATGAAATGCCCTTTGCTGCGGAGTCCACACTCACCTCCCTTCCCGGGGCTGCTCTGGCTGCTGGAGTTCTGGCAGAGAGGGAGCTCGGAATAGGAGGCACTGCTAGTCCAGCCCCTGGAAAGGAATTTGTCCCTCTGCAAGTCAGAAAAGAGATTGTTTATACACTGGAGGTGTGAACACTTGCAAGAGAGCTACCAGGGTCGGGCTTCTCAGCTGCAAACTGAGGACCATACAGGGGACTGCCCACCTGCAAGACCCTGTTCTGGAGGTGTTCCTATCCCATCACCCTGGAACTGCTTTGATTTAAAAAAAAAAAAAAAAAAAAAAGGACCCTTTCGCCTATCGTATTCTCACAGGACTTACTGTCCTCATTCTGGACACCCCCGAGCCTGGAGGAACCCCAAGAGTACCACGGGGTGGGTGAGCTTTAGTAGGGACACCTGGGTTTATAGAGAAACCGGCAGTCACAAGGGGATGGGGCCACTGGCCACGGAAGGGGTGGGACCTTAACTCCAGGCAGATGCAGGCGTGAGGGCCTGGCCTCGCACCCCTGACCTGTTCGTCTGCACTTGCAGGTCTGGTTCCAGAACCGCAGAGCCAAGTGGAGGAAGCGGGAGAAGTGCTGGGGCCGCAGCAGCGTCATGGCCGAGTACGGGCTCTACGGGGCCATGGTGCGGCACTCTATCCCCCTGCCCGAGTCCATCCTCAAGTCCGCCAAGGATGGCATCATGGACTCCTGTGCCCCGTGGCTGCTGGGTAAGAGCCCGCACCCTCCTTGGGGCCCTGCCCCTGCGGTGAGGAGAGCGGGCTCCCTGGAGGAGGAGACAGAGTCCTAGAGCAGGGAGACCTGGCCGCAGCAGCCTACAGGAGAGAGCCCCTCCCAAGCAGGCCTCCCAGTCTCCCATGGGGGGCTCAGAGGGCAGACTGGGCCCAGGGCTTGGTGTCTATCCCTTGCACCCACCTGCTGGGCACCTAGGACTCTCATCCTGGACGGGTCCCTGACTACGGGTTGGTTCTTTAGTCCTGTGAGAAGGGTGTGGCTGTTGGCTCGGGGTCTGTACCCTCCAGTTCCCTTGGCTGGAGGTGGGATTGTGGTGAATGAAACAGCCCCTCTTGGGGGTTGAGGGGACTCCTAGGTCCCTTTGGCCATCATTCTGGCTTTGCCCAAAGGACTTTTTCCTTCTAAATCTCGCCACCTGCCATCTTCCCCCACCTGCCATCTGGGCCTGTCTCTGATAACAGCACCAGCTTATCATGGGTTCTAAGATCTGGAATCCCAGGAGGGAGGGATCGGGGAGCAAGTGCTATGCTTGGGGAGGGACAGAACAGGCTGCTGGGGGGCCAGGTGCCCAGGGACTTGGCTTGGAGATAGCCCTCTGCAGGCCTGGTGCCCAGCCGCTGGTCTGCAGCCCCATGCCCCGGCCCCCGGGACTCGCGTGACTGCGGTGTGTGAAGTAAGGCTTTCTGCTCGTCCTTAATTCTGGCCTCTCTCTATCTTTGCCGTTTTCAGTTCAAGATGGCTTTCCCAGGCGCTTTTCTAAACCCGAATACCAACAATTCTTTTTAGGAATGCACAAAAAGTCGCTGGAGGCGGCAGCTGAGTCGGGGAGGAAGCCCGAGGTGGAGCGCCAGGCCCTGCCCAAGCTCGACAAGATGGAGCAGGAGGAGCGGGGCCCTGACCCTCCGGCGGCCATGTCCCAGGAGGAACTGAGGGAGAACAGCATTGCGGCGCTCCGAGCCAGAGCTCAGGAGCACAGCACCAAAGTGCTGGGAACTGTGTCCGGGCCTGAGAGCCTGGCCCGGAATGCCGAAGAGCCAGAGGAGGAGGAGGCCATGGACGAAGACAGGCCCACGGAGAAGCTGAGTCCACCGCAGCTCGAGGACATGGCCTAGGTCAAGGGCGCGCTGACACTGGAGCCCCAGGACTCTGCTCTTCTCAGGACCTGTGGTTCTGGGAGGTGCTCTCGGAGGCAGGGACCAGCCCGGCCTCTGCCGCCCTCGCCCTGCCCCATAGGCCCTCCATGACCCTGGATGACTTCAGGCACAACTCAGTGCCGGCCGAGGCTTTGGGTTGTGCTGAGACATCCCCATCTAGCCTTGACCTCGCCAGCATCCTCGTCCCAACAGCCCTGCCTCGGAAGCCTTCTTGCTGCCCCAAACCACCCCCTCAAGCCACTTTCACTCAATCCTTCAGCAACTCTCACTGCCCAGATCCACCCCTTACACTCTGTTCTCTTGCTCCCAAGAGCCGTCTTTTCCAACTCTGCACCCCCTGTGGATTCTGCTCCACCCAGCCCAAAGCCCATTGCTGCAAACGCATTGCCTGCCACAGCCCTGACAGGGACTGAGGACCCGCACTCCAGGGCCAATGTCCTGAGCACTCCAGTCCTCCACAGAACTCTGCTCCCTGCAGCCTGTTCCCTCCCGCGGGCCTGGGCCTGGGCCCGGGCCCCCGCCATGTGAATACACTGCTCTGCGGGCCCAGGCACAACCTCTGCCCCACCCCATCAATGGGGCCCAGATTTCAGATTAAACTTGGGAAGTCTCAGCCTGGGCCCCTCGGCCACCCTCCATCTCATGCTCTCCATGGTCACCCTCAGGAACCGGCCCTCTCCACACTCAGCCTGCCTCACCATTCCTCCCAGTACGGTGCCAGTGCCGCATGTGGCAATGTACACTACCCATGGTGAGTCCGGGGCCTGTGCCCTGCAGCCGGGGACACTGCTCACGAATGCTGTGGCTCACTGCACTGCACTCACGGCCCTTGAGCCTGTGTCCTGAAGTCCTGCCCACCACCCCCCTCCACCCCGTGTGCTGCCTGTGACCCTGACTTGCTCTGCAAGGCACCTTCCCCTAGAGCTTTTTCTGGTTCGCATGTGCCCTGCTTTGGAGCAACCCAATCCAGCTGTGAAAGGAACACAGAGAAAGCCACAGATCTTGATTCCACTTGATCCAGGTTGTCCCTGGGAGGCCAAGCCTGGAGTGGGCCTGGGGCTATAAATAGTTGTCAAGGTTGGTCACAAGAAAGGTATGAGAAAAGGCTCGAAGGAGAGCAAGGTGGAGCCAGTGTTAGACCCAAACTTAGCGACAGGCACACACACCTTCACACCGGGTGTATGGTGTGGTATGTGTCCACTAGAATAAGATAGACACAGTGACTGTGTTGGAATAGTGGACTGGGGGCTTCTTCCTGTCTGCTGGTGAGAGGACCTGTCCATACCGATGGCCTTTCTGCAGCCGCCCCTTCCACCTGCAGGTCAGGCACATGTCCCCCTCACCCCCGTGTCATTTCCCTCTACCCTCCCACCACCTTTGCAGGGAATACCTCGCAGGAGAAAGGCCTGAGACAGTGCATTGGGATTTTAATTCCATATCAAAAGTTGATTTCTTCATTTTGTTCATGGAACTTTCCCCCAGTTCTTCTTGTCTTTGTCCCCTGTTGGTTTGAAGTGTTAGACTGTAGCCCCTGGTGTGTAAATAATGTACATAGAGTGAGAAGAAAGAAACTTGATATGGAGGTGTTTGCAGTATGGAACTGTACTAACTTCTAGGTATTCTAAACCTGTGATTTCTGTGCCATTTTCTGTAAAGATACAAGTAAGAATAAAATTGATGTAAAAACAGGAGGGGAGGGATCCAGGAGTCCTCCGTGGGTGAGGATGGTGTGTGTGTGTATGGGTAGCATAAAAAGTAAATCCATGGAGTCATTTTTAGGTCAAAATTACTAGATTCCTCTTTTAAATTTACTCCAACTATAGAGGCACAGTGGCCTGCCTTTCTCCACTGAATTGACACCACCTTTCAATGACATTTGTCACTGTGATACGGGACACTCCTCCATTCCGGGCACAGCTAAAATATCCCAGGCACTGAGCCCCTAGGGTATTCCCTTTCACTCCCCCCAGCCCCCACACAATAGATTACCTTTCCCTCTGGTACTCACTGACTTAGAAACAACCAATTTCCTTCACACCTTAGCTGAAGCCCACAGCCCCCCTTGGCCCCCAAGTGTACTGACTCTCTTCATTTTGTGTACGCATATGCGCTCGAATATCTTACCTACAACTCAGACAACAACAACAACAAACAGAAAAGGTAGCGGTATCTGGAACTGAAACTCAAACAAACCTGTGCTAAATCCCTGTCAGAGAGAAAGGCGTAAACAAGAGAAACAGGAGGAAGGCTGCATGAGATTATCTGCAGACAGCTGTGAGCCAGCACTTGATGATGTGCTGGATGGAATTATAAGATGAGAGAGTGGTGGGAGCAGACTACACATCTTATATTTGAGCTTTTGGCTCAAGAAATCTCGTAAGATTGTTTCAAATTGTCCCAGATGTGAACTCCCTCATGGAAGAGGTTTTTCTGGCTGCCCGTCATCAAAGGAGAATGACAGGTTGCCTGCACCCTGGATTGGGCCTGGGTATCATCCTCCCAGACCTGGAGCCTGGGGTGCAAATAGGAAATCTCCGACTTCTATGTGGTGAAGGAAAGATCCAAGAGCCTGGCTTCAAGTCCTGCCTGCACCAGGCTCCTCCTAGGCCTTCCTGGAGCATGGCAGGCCCCTGCGGGACTCATTGTCGCCCCTTGATCTAGGAATGCCCTTCCCTCACCCTGCTTAGCCTCCGCACTCCAGGAAATACACTGCCACTCATCCTTCAAGTCCGCTCTCCCTGGAGCCTTCCTGATCCTCCAGGAAGAGTTTATAAGCTCTGTTCTCTCATAGTACTTGGGACAGTCCTCCATTATGGCATTTTATGCACTGTGTTGTAATTTTTTATTTATCTTCCCCACAAGACTGATTTCTTCACGGGTGGGGATTGTGTCTATTTATCTTTTACCCCCAGGACCCATCAAAAGGCCTGACACTCCATTCTTGAATGACTGAGTGAATGAATGTTTTTCCTTTAACTCATTCATTTATTTAATAATTCAGAAACATTTATTGAGCATCTATGTACCAGGCAGTGAGGTGAGGCACTGGGGATACAGTGGTGGGCAAAACAGTCCTATTCGAAGGGAAAGACAGATAGAATTCAAGTAATCACACAAATAAAATACAAAATTGCAAATGTCCTAAGGCCTTGGAGGCGTGAGATGAGGGACCATGAAAGCATCTCTGTGGGCCTTGGGTCAATGTGTCTAACCTCTGAGCCTCTCTCTCCTGTGTTCTAAATCAAAATAACATCTGTTCCTGCAGTCTCATAGTGTTGAGAAGTCAGGACGCTGGCAAAGGTGCCACGTGAGCACTGGGGAAGGGTGGTCACACCAAGGCAGCCTCCTCCAGCTCAGGGCATGACCTTGGCAGCTGCCCCGCCCTCAGTTAGATGTGGAGGACAGCTGGGGCCCTCAGAGACTTGGGAGCTGCCAGAAACCCTCCTGGACAATCAACCCAGAGAATTTACCCTGCGAAGAGGCATGCAGCTCTCTGTAGACGGACGTGCAAATAGGCCTACGGGTGATCAATGAGGGGAGAAGCTGGGAGGCTGCACAGGGAAGAAACTGGACTGGAAAGGAAGGGCCTGGACAGCCGATGGGGCAGAACCAAGAGAAATCTGGGCAGTCCTGACTGCAGTCCGGAAGGGACTTCTCCCAGAGGATCCTGAAACCTAGCACCTGGAAGGGAAGTTTTTTCCAGGCTCCACAGGTCCAACAGGCTGCCAGTAGACGGCTGTGTGTGTGCACCAAGAAGAGCAAGAAGGAGATAAAAGGGCAGGAGGGACTGATTTATGAGGGCGGCTTGGAGCTGCTGAGGGGGCCTGGTGGGGATACGTGATGAGTCTGGTTGGTGGGAGAGTGACAAGTGGCAGGGGAGAAGATGGTTGGGGAGCTCCTGAGGCCCAGTCCTGTGGCCTGCAAGAAATGAGGGTCATGATCTGAGGGATCTCTGGGATCTGGTCTGTCCAGCCTCCTCTGTCTCCGGCACCCCCAGCTCACCGGTGGCCTTGGGGTCTTCCTCCTGCTCCCACCAGAGCTGCTGCGCCTTCTCCTCTCAGGCACCCCTCAGAGTGTAGAGTGTGGAGGTGTGGCCCCCTGGGTCATCAGTTGCAGCGAAGGTACTATACTTCACAGGGGCCACCGGGTGGGGAGTTACTGGAACTCCTTGTATTATCTTCACAATTTTTTTGTAAATCTAAAATTGTTGTAAAAATAAAATTTATTTAAGAAAATAAACTAGTTTATTTTCTAGAGGGAAAACAACAAATGGCTTTTTTGGGTTAGAGCAGGTGCCAGGGCTGCCCCTTTCCCTGTCGTCCCCCAGGACTCTGCTTACTGAGTGTCGTGGTTCAAGGCTCCCCAGGATCACCCAGGCACCCAAGATCCACCCCTGGGGAGCTGAGCCTGGGTCAAGAGCCACTGGACTTAAATGGTTCTGTCTCCTGGTGTTTTCTTGCTGCCTATGTCTTCTTTAGGTCTCCCTCTTGTCCCCTCCTCCCACCTGGCTGCTCCTCAACTCAGGCAGCAGTGGAGTCCCTGCTTGGTCACAGCTGAGCGGGCCCGTAGTGGCTTGCTCTGTTAATTTCTCACTCAGATCAATCCGTCCCAGGGCTAACTCTTCTCAGTGGCTGTCAGCCTCCTGCTGTACCCGACTCCTCACCTCTGAGCCAGGGAACCCTCAGATTTACCTCCATGGCTCTGCTCCCAATGTGGACTTTAGGGAGTCTGTCACAGGAAGGGGTCAGGGAGGATGAGGTGGCCTTCTGTTGAGCTGCAGAATGGCGTGAGCTGTCTTATGTGCCCACCGGGCTGATATTCCCCTACCAGCTTCACTTGGTGCTCATGAGGCCACAGTGACCATGGTGGGCTCAGAGGTGAGAGGGAAGAAGTGGAAAAGTTCACCTATTTCCTCCACACAGCCCCAGTGGGGGTAGACCAGAGCAGTTTGCACCTGTCAGAAATAGAAATAAATGATTAAAAGCCAAATCTGGGCTCAGCCAAGAAAGAGCTTTGCAGTTGAGATGACAACACAGACGTTGGATAGAGGGATACATTTATGACCAAGAAAATAATTTAAACAAGTGCTGAGCTGAATGGTAAGAGATACAAGAGAGAGTTCAGAGGACAAGTGCAACCTCTAACAAGAGTGCCTCTTTCTCTTCTCCCACGTTTTTGTCTTCCACAATGTCCTGTAATTCAAAGTCAGTCCACCCATGGTTTCCATGCAGAAGGAGCAAGAGCCCAGGAAAGAAGGGGCAGACTAGCACAAAGGGCGGGGAATGGACTCGGGAGGCAGGCAAATGGCCCTCCTCCATCTGGGGACCACTCCTGTTTGTCTGCAAGGCCCATCACCCAGGGATGACAATCCCTGATGAGAAGATGGCAACCTAAAAATAGAAGAATATCAAGGTGGATCCAGGAGACCTGAGCTGAAGTGCAGACTCTGCTACTCTCTGAA